AATGCGAGCCTGGAAAGCACTCAGGTGACACTAGAGACCTGTGGGGGACCCAGCTTCAGGTCTTGACTGCCTCCCAGAAAGAAACCATAGCCCAAGTCTCAAAGTATATGTAGTTCCTTACACTTCGATAAAAAAGCAGTTTTAGGGGCGCCTGGGTGGCTCAATCCATTAAGCATCCGACTCTTGATTTCGGCTCAGGTCACAATCTCACGGTCAAGCCCCATGTTGGAATCAAGCCCCATGTTGGGCAGCATGGAGCCTGCTTGGGATTCTCTCGCTCTCCCTCCACCCTTCCTTTGCTCGTGCTCGCTCACTCTCGCACATTTCTCTCAAACGTTTTTTTTTTTTTAAAAGCAGTTTAAAAAAATTAAAAATTAAAAAGCAGGGTTTTCTTTTTAAAGATTATTTGTTTTGAGAGAGAGACAAGGGCAGAGAGAGAATCCCAAGCAGACTCCACACCGTCAGCCCAGAGCCTGATGTAGGGCTCGATCTCACACACCATGAGATCATAACCGGAGCCGAAATCAAGAGTCAAGATGCTCAACCGAGCCACCCAGGTGCCCCCAAAAAACACTTTGAAAAAGAAAAACAGTGCATTGTAATTGCAAAGTTCTTCAACTAGACAGAGAAGCCATCCTTAATTTCCAAAAACAACAGTATGGCCAATGGCATTAATGAACAAGTATCCTTCAAATCAGATCACAAACAGGACACAACTTTTATCTAGCTCCCTTCACCGACTTTGCACCCAAGGCAAAGACACTTTTCCTCCCCACCCTCCACCGCCACCCCGGGGTCAGGAAAGGTGTGTGGTTGATGCTTACATTTTGGAATGGAACAGAACCAGAATGGAGGTTTCAGGAGGAAAGGTACCCCCAGTGCACCTCTCCTGGCCTAGCCTGCTGGACAACACCAACCACACCCCATGGGCCTGTTTTCATGCTTAGGTGCTAGGAGGGAGGGTGCAACTTCTCCCCGTTGAAGGAACTTCAAACTTCACTCGCTGCTCTAAGAGGCCCTTGAGCGATTTACCGTAGGCGTGTACACGTGTGTGGCGCACTGAAGACTGCTGGCCTCTGGGAACATTTCTACCCTCCTGTCACATTTTCTGGCACATGAGGTCCTCCTCATGGGCCCCTGTACACCAGGACACTGTGATGGACAAAAGACAGGAAGCCCCTGATGTAGTAGCAGGGGCACTGACACAGGGCTACCTGTGTCACACATCAGACAGTTGTTATCCCGTGTTACACACAAGAACTAAAATTCAAACAGGTTAGGTGGCAAGGCTGGAATGTAGACCCCATGTGCCCAGTCCAGAGCCCACCCTCACCGTCTTCTGATGCAGTCAGTCAATATAATAAGACACATACGACCGCAGCAGGTTCCAGGTCCTGCCACACAGGATTGTGTCTCAAGATGTGTTACCAATGCAAATTATTTTAAATCCAAACCGTCTTAAACCACTAATCACGCATCAAAATAAACTGAGTTTTTCCATCGGAAGCACTACCAAACACTAGGTTAAGTAGAAGTTAACCTAGTTGTTGGGTTATTTTTAACTTAGTAAATTAACAACTACTTTAAAATAGCTGCCCTGTATTCCCAATATCTACAAATCAGTGACAAAATGTATCTCAATTTGGCAAAAGAAAGCACATTATAGCTTTTAAAGAAAAGCACATAGTGGTCACTTAAAGCAATTAACTTGTACACTGAGCACTTTTCAAAGTGCAACACTCTGCCCTCTGCTACATATGTATACACCACCACAGGTCACCCGCTGCTGGGTCCAGGAGTCCAGCCATCTTGGACCCCTGCTCTCAGCTTTTTTACAGAAACCGGTCAGTCTTGGGTCACAAAATGAAGGAATCTCAGCCAACCCTGCAGCCTTGGACCAAGAAAACACGACGGACCTCACCAGTGGGTCTGCTCTGGTCTTCAAACAGGACATCCTCGTTGGATCTTCTCCTTCCGGGAACCCTATCCTCCTTCACACCTGGTCTGTGTCCACTCCCTGGGCCAACCAGGCCTCGCTGCATCTCTCAGGGGTTCTTTCACCCACCTGCCCTAGTGACCCACAGGGTCTCACTCCTCCTAAGCCTACCCTTAACCTCCACTCTCCTTACAATAGCCCCCGGCCCACAAACTTCTTACACCCTCACCCCCCCCTCACTCCCCAGCACCACACCTCCAAGAGGTCCTAATGGCCAAGCCCATGGTTCCCCAGTCACTGTCCTTTTCCTGGGGCCAACCCCTCTCTCGGTGCTCCACTTAGTCCCCTCTTTTGGATACTGATATTCTCTGGGAACCTTGGTTCCACCCCACTCCATTTCTGAGCACAACCAAGTCACTGTGAGTTCCTTTGGTTTTTTGCTTGGAGTATTCACCTGGAAAGCTCCAGAAGCCACTCTCTGCTCACCCCTCTCCAGTCCTAACCCTAAAGAATGCCATCTCTGATTTAGCGAGAAAATCCTGAAACGTGACATTACCAAACTTAACCTGCAGGTTAAAACACACCCACATAAGAAAGAGGGGTAGAGCTGTATCACTAACGGATTGGCAGCTAACTTAGCACAGGAGCAGGATCACTTTCCCAAACAAACGCGATTATAGTGTCACATGTTAAACAGTTCAGGGCAATAGCAGATTCAACTTCTTCTATGTCCATACACGGCTATTAGATATTCTAGGACTTTCCTGATCAAAAATATGTCAAATTCACTTGATGTTTCAAAGTACTTTAACCACCGTTAAAGACTTACTTTTATTTGTAAATTATGTGCAGTTTGCTACCCTAGCAACAATAAGAGCAACAACACAGCCAGACATTCCTGCCCAGCAAATCTTCCTAGATTTGCTGCCCACTCAGACCAGGTCCCTGGACAAATAAGGACCCTGTCCTCAAAGAGGGCATTCTTCATTCTGTCACTGACCACCTTGAAAATGCTCCCCAACCAGGCCCAAGGTTCCTTCCAGCCTAAATTCCACCTTCTTCAGCACCAGGCTGCTGGCCCAGGGACAGCCACAAGGCCACCTCCACCCGCTCACTTTCAGGAGCTTCCCCTCCCCCACACGTAGCCCAGGGCCCTTCCACGGATCCCACCCCAAAGAACTCCCCAGTATCAATAACACCTTCACCTCCAGAGAGTGAGATGCTCCCAGAGAGGAAAAAGTTTGCATTTCTGTACCCACAGCCCCACATACTTGGCTGACAATCGAGGATTTGTGGAAATCGCCTGTTTGCTGGAAAACCACACACCCTGGCATGTGTGTGCACTCCACACACACTCAAGGGTCCCCACTGGGCTCACCAACCATCGTGGAAAAACCATATGTGTTCAGATCTTACCCAAACTGTTTAAAATACTCACGAGAGCCAATACACTGGATCACGGTCCTCGTTTGTCTCTGTTCCTCCTAAATTAACACACTATTTGACATTTTAATAAAATGATGAACCATACTTTAAGACTAAATTACTTATGCACTCTCCCAAATTCTCTGCATGTAAATTTTCAACACTAACTACAAAATGCAAATTCACTCTAAAATTGGAATTGGACTAAAATCACGGTCATTCAAATAAGACACCAACCATGGATTGTGATTTTTTTTTCATATATTTTTTTTAACTCGGTAGTGATTTTCAATTCAGTAGGCAAGTCTGAAATAAGCAATAAGAATATTTCAATCTCTGCATAATTTCTCTAAATTACACATTTTTTTAAACTTATACAACTTGATTTTTTAACTTAAAAAGAACTTGTAACATAAAACTAAGTTTAGGTTCAAGAAAAAGATTCTTAAAACAATTTATCTGCGTTTAACTAGCACCAACTGTCTTTACACAGTCTATTGCATTAACCTGTGTCTGTTACCACTCTGCACCAAAGATGCGGGAACGATCTCTACAAAAAGGGCGGTGCTACGAGGTCCCACAAGTTATTCACTTACTCCACGTTGTGAAAACGCCAAAATCCCTTCTGTGAAAAAATTCCTGGGCCATAAGAAGGGCAGGGCTCCTGGAAGCTGGGATGCAGGTCAGGGGCTCGGCCTCCACTGCACAACCTCTCTTACTCATTCCTTCTTCTGGGCACACTGTACCCCTCCGAAAGTCTGATTTCTGCTCCCTTGCCAAAGGTCAACTTATTTCCATATTTATTGAACATGCCAACACAAACAGGTTTGGCTGAAAATAAGAGAATTTTCCTTATAAACCTCAAAACCCTCGGAATAAAGACAGAAAATCCTTTGTTGTGACATCAAGTTACTTGTAAACAACAAACTGTCGGAGTAAAAGACAGCTGTCATGGGGCGCCTGCGTGGCTCAGTTGGTTAAGCGGCCGACGTCAGCTCAGATCACGATCTTGTAGTTGAGGAGTTCGAGCCCCGCGTCGGGCTCTGTGCTGACAGCTCAGAGCCTGGAGCCTGCTTCAGA